TTGCAAAATCAAGCTGTTTCTACTTGCAAGAGACCACCCAAATCTATCCAGTGTAAAAGCTGCATGGGTTGAGATGTTTTTGGGATGCCAACAATATTCTTAGGTCAGGCACTAGAAGACTCCTTCGAATGTGTGAAAATAATCATTGAACAATTAGGCCCTTGTTCTTGGTACCTTTATGGTATTGTTATTGGTGTTATTGGTATTGCCATCATTTTCATGAGCACAAGTAAGAATGCTTTTAAAGTGCGCTGCTTTGTTCATAGGTACTCTTCCATATCCATTGGGAATACCCATGTATGGCTTTACATGTCTTTGGGGTCAACACTCTATCATTCCCCTGCTTTATTTCATCATCTGCATCACTGGAACTCTCTTGCTGGCTGGCAGAATGAGTCAGAGGGAAATGCCGTCTGAGTCAGCATTGTCTGCCTATGCGTTGTGCTCTATACAGAAACTTTAACTTGGTGATTTCCAGGAGGCTATTGCCAGACAGATAAATAGTGCATAGCCTCTTAAAGGCCTTCATCTGTTGTACACTTTGGTCCAGGAGGAGAAGAGAGCTTTAAATAGGCAGGGTCAGAAAAATAATAATCTTGCCTTGGAGAGGACCTCTGATGTTTCCTGTCCTCACAAGGCTTGCCAGTTGTGGCTGTAGATAGGAAGAGACCTTAAATGGCAAGGAAGGAAACGGGAGACATAAAATAAAGAACTGGTCATTGTATATACATTCTTCACAGGAAAGGAGAGGGAAATGTTGACCATTGCTGAAAGCTGGTGGGAGGCTATCACAATTTTTTTCTGATGCTTAATGACACAGTCCACATTGCTTAATGTTGCTTGTGCTTAAAGTTAACTTAAACCAGTCTAATCCAGGCATGACAAATCATGAAACCATCTGTGAGACATCTTTGGTCATTCTGTGCAAGTCTGAACCTTGTTTGGCACAGACAGGAAGCAACTGCACTTTACATTGGTTTTTATACATGCATTATGAAGTCCTAAAAGTGCTATTGTTTCTGAAAGCACTGCCATGAAAATCTGTTGCAGCAAAAGCAAGAAGCAGTCTTGGACACTTCAAAAATTAACATATTTATTATGACTTGTAATATTCTGCTTCATCCAGTATTTGGAGTATTGTACTGAGAGACAAAGATGTATACAGGTTTCCCCTTCTTGGCTGAGGCAGTTGATAGAAGAATAAGGGTTTACTGAGGAATGAGAAATAGGTATTGACAATGATCATTCAATAAAGATGGTGGCCATTCACAAAACAGTTATTCTCTATGGAACAGATGTTGTAGACACTCTACAGAAATAGCAGTTTACATATCAACTGCCGGTTTATATTTTAAAATATCTTGCATTCACATTGTTAATATGAATGTAAGATATTTTAGGGAAAGGAGGAAGCTAAAATGAAAGAAGGGTCACACACACACACACACAATAGCATGGCTTTTATGGTCTTATGATTGTAGAATAAAAATATAAAATGGGTAGCAGCATTTAAGATCAAACAAAGAGGTTTAAGAGTAGAAGCGGGAAATAAAACAAGAGTAATATAATAAGACTTCCAATGTGGTAAATAATAGGAGAATTAACTGAAATGTTGTCTATCTGCATAGAAAAAAAAAAAGAGAGTGAATTCTAACTATATCTTGTCAGCTGAAATGCCAACATTTGCATAATGCCTGAACATAGGAAGAAAGGAAATGACAGGAATTTAAAAAGTAGTCTAAGTCTGCAAATGAGAACAGAACAAACAACACCATTATCAAGAACAAGAGAGTGGCTGCAGAAGGCTACAAAACAAGACAAACTGAGAAGTTCAATTTAGTAGACAAAGTTTGAAAAACAAGATGGACATATTTCTAGTAAGAGATGGCAGAGTAAATAGTGGAGATAAGGATAAGAGAAGGAAACAGGTATAGGTAATTGTTATATACGTGAAATTGATTAACTGATAGTTAATGGGACCCCATATGGGAATATTAAGAATAAAGACCAGAGGGTCTTTACTATACTGATAAATGAGGTACGTTTGTAGAAAAGGAAAAGATGCAGAAAAGAGGAAGGGAATAGATGTGAAAAGGGATATAATAGATGAAAAGAGGGAAATAGAGATGAAAAAGGGATATTATAGATGCAATTTAAGAGTGGAAAAGGAGAAATAATGTGTTTACCAAGGGAACTATAATATCTAGGATTGATCATCTGTTTGATGGTTTTAGTCTTCTTTGTTGAGGGGGTATGAGGAGAGGGAGTGTACTTCGACAACTTAATGGTCAATTATATACAACTTATGGTCAACCCAAGACTAGCGTTCAAAAGCTTCCCAGATAACAATACAAGGTACCACCTCTCTCATCTCAGGAGATTCTGTCCATCTGGCTTCCACCTTGGAATGTATGCAAGCAATTTTGTCCATGAAATACCTGGTCAGACAATCACAACTTTCACAGACTAGGTCTTTCAGCCCATCCTTGCCCAAAATGGTCTGGGACACTTTAAACAGCATAGCTGGCCCACGGATGTTTTGCCTACATCTGATGCACGATCAGCAAATTGCAGGCTGCAGACAAAGAATAGCAGGGGTGTCTCCAGAGGCAGATCCAGGTTTTGCTCATGTATGGTATGATTCAATAGTTATGTTCTAGGCAGATCTTTCATCTCAGCCATGGCTCAGAATAAAAGTGAAATGGAGTAACGACCTTTGGAAAAACAGGCAAAACAATCTAAACACAAAGGGAAAAGATTGTGGAGGAGTAAGTTACAAGGTAGTGAGATTTGTGGATATTAATTCAATTAACCATTAAAATCTGGGAAAATCACTATATGAGATATCTAGCTTTCTTCATCTTTGGCTTTCTTCATTCATATTATCCTGGTATGTTAGCTGTCCTTTTCTAAACGATTCTACTATGATCAAACATTTTGCATGGAAATGCCATTTTCAAGGCTTTCTAACGAAGCTGCACTTTTCTGCAACCTCTCGTGAGTGAGCTCAGGAGCAGCAGAAATTCTTTCCTGACTTAGTAGGTTTTTAAAAATCTAAAGAAATCTATTTCCTTAGAAACATTTGGCTGCTCTAGCTTTTATAGGCAGCCATCTCTGAGTGCCCCTAATGTTCAAGCCACAAGTGGATCCAGATGTGCAACAAAGTCTGTCGTAGGGATGGGAAGAGGAGGAGGCACCCGGAAAGCTTGACTCATCAAGGGCTGGATGTGTTTTGAGAAGCAGGCTTCTAGCCAGGGAGGGGTATGTATGCATTTTGTGTGGAAGGGGTGATGCAGTGTGTGCTGAGTGATTCCCTTCAGCTGATGGAATTAAAAACTAGGCAGATGAATAACAAATAAATGAAGGAGGGGCTGTTCCCAATAGTATATTTTAGAGAATTGCACTTAAAGGAATTTTGCTGCCCAGATGCTTGAGCAGGTTTAAAGAAGCTCCATGGATTCTTCCTGATACTCATTGTACCATATGCTAGCATCTGTCCCAGTGTAGAGGACGTGTTCCAAAGTGGCTCCTTCAAATTACAGTGGCATAGGTGTCTGGTAGAAACTCAGTAATGTCAGAGTGACATTGCTTGTGTGATGATGTCACTGCACAAATGATGTGAATTATGTAATACAATGGAATCTGATTCTGATTTTTCTTGAATATTTCAAGGTAACATCCTAAAACAAGCAAACAGAATATTGTTCTTTGCCAAATGTTTTTAATTGCAGCCATGGCCTTCTGTAGGACCAGCAGTTAAAGTTCCTTTGTCACAAAGGACTACCTTTAATGGACAGATCTGTGCTGGGAACATATTTGCAGGCAGTAAAAAGAGATTATGGTAAAAAATATGAAGCTTTGATGTGCAACAAGAAGTTTGTCCTTGAGAAGTGCACCCTTTCTATTCCCTCCCCCTCAGACTTCCCTAAGCATCCAATCTTAATCTGCATACATTCTTAATAACTCTGACCATTCTTAATTCTGTCAGGTGGTCAAGGAATAGCAAATATCTCATCTTGCAATTATGGCTTAGGGAGGAGGACACTGGCTTTCTCAATTTTTCTGTGTACAATCTGTCAAGAATTGCCTGATAAGGAAACAAATAGATGTATATGTGTGTATTTTTCCATAATTCTGTATTCTTCTTGGAGTAATGAAAAAAAAATGAAGACAGGAAGGTGTGCTTGAGGTGCCTTTTATGACTAATATGTGTGTATATATTAAAAGTGGGTCATCTGCTTTTATTAGATCAGGATCTTCATATTTTAGGCAGAGTTGGTTGTTATTCTAAAATTACTGGAGATTTCTATGGTGGTCAATATATGCAACAAAGAGAGGATGGAGAACCCTTGCACAATAGGTAGGTAGGTAGCTAGGTTGTTGAGTAGGTAACATCAGGGAAAAATTGTTCAGGTTAAATCCATTGGTTTTATTTTTGCAGGAAAATTAATACATTAAATATATGAGCCTCCCATCTGTAATCAAAAGTAATCCAGTCCATTCTGGCTCCTCATAACTCATCTCCAGCTTTGTGTGATCACATGTATAGTGCAGACCAGTTTGAATTCTATGAAAATGTGACTTTCTGAAAGGGAGTGTGGGTGGTTACTTGCCAAGGGTCTCACAGCCCTGTCAGGGCTGGCAGAACCTCTCCTCCATCACTGTGGCACGACTGCCATGCCAGGTTTTCCAGCCTTATGTCTGGAGAGCCTGATAAGGCTCAGACAGGCAGCCAGTTTGCACAGGACTCTTGCAATGTTTTATTTCATTCCCCCTTCAATCTATTCTTGTTACCCCCTCCTTTGACTCCCACCCTGATTCTTCCTACAGGCTAGTTTATGGATGCCATGCCCTTTAAAGCTGAAGGAGGGGGAGAAAAAAGAGCCCCGCACAGCCAGTGGTGTTGTTTTTGGGCGTGTGTGATGTTGTACTTGGACAGCGATGCATGGAGGGGGGTGGGTGGGAAGAGGCTGTGCTAATAAGGTGGAGATTGGAAAGGAAAATCCCTTTTGAGACAGTTCTGAAAGCTTTTTCCTTTCTGCTTAATCACTGCACACTGCTCTCCCAAGCTCACCACCCCCGAAAGCTTCAGGCAAATAGGTTTGCTGCCCTTTCACCAATGTCTGAATCCAAGCCCCTGGTTTCTCTCCATTTTCGAATGAATACTGTATAACGTCTTTTTCCTCTGCCAGCTTTGACTAACACCATCTGCTCGAGTTTAACTTTTGCACAAGCAATGGCTGGTTTTTGCTCATCATGAAGGAGGGAGAAGCTTAACTAAGGTGAGATCAAGAGTTTCCTGTCCCCTTGGAGGTAGTCACCATCTTGGAGGTGACAATTTTAAATAAAACAGCCCAGAAGGATGGATTTTGGAAGTGTAATGAAGCAGGTATTGTTCATCTGTCAATTCTTTTTCCTGATTGTCTAGGGAAGTTGGGGAAATTAGCAGTAGAGGGTCTTGCAGTTGCTTATGAAGAGATGATATGTACCTGTTTGAGTTTCTTGTGTCCTGGCCTTAAAAAAACTGAATTTCTAGGGTGGTAAAATGCTTTGTGAAATGATGAAAGGTTCTGAAGGTAATGGGACATTCTAAGGAAGTAGTAAACTTCTAGAGAAAGTTTGGATTGGGGAGGTTAGTTTAAATTGGCATTGGTGTTTGTGTGTTGGGGAAGAGTCAGTACTACTAAGCTGATTCTGCCTGTTGAATGGTTGAGAAAATAGTGATGCCCCATGGGAGGAACAGTTTAGTTGAAAGATCATGTTCTGTTCCTCTGTTTTTCTTCCCTAATCTATTTTCAATGATGTGCATTTGTGTAACTTTCTGCTTGAGCAGCATATCTCTTCCTTGGCATTTAGAAATGATTATCTGGCGCCCTCAACTCATAGCATAACCATTATTTGGAATAAAGGAATGCCAGGACTGGGTAATTTCAATTTTAGCAATTGCTGCAATAAGAAGGTGAAGAGGAAGAATCAGGAGCTGAAGATGAGCATCTTCACTTAAGCTCTACCTACTCCTCTACATGTTTGTTTATTAGCTGAAGACAAAGAATGGAGGCAGATTGTTTGCAAGGATATGTGAGGCTTGGCAGCAAGCAATAAGAAGAAAGTACCAGAGACAGAATTCAGAGTAATATTCTTCTTTGTTGCTAGGAGTTCTGATTTTTTCCAGAGTGATTAAAATTAGACCAAACATGTAGAGCAAAGTTAAATTTTGATTGACCATAATTCTACAACATGGAAACATGAATACACATTACTCACGGAGCTTGTTTATGTTTTACTAAAAATTGAGTTGCAAACATTCTTAGGATTGTTCATTTTCTCCAAGATTGGTGTGTTAAAGTAGCATGCATAATTAGGAAATGTTGGTGGCAGGATCAGTGTGACTCAGATAATTGGTAGGGTTTTTTTGTAGCAGTTGTAACAAGCTGAAGTTACCTGTTGCGTTTTGAAATAGCTCCACATATAGATCTGCAAAATGTACAGAGTGTGTTAATTATTCACATTCATATCAGCTAGGTACTGAAATAACAGGTTATATATCTTGCTTCAGATTTTATTACAATCATTTCATTAACCAAGCTGCAGACAGCCACTATTCAATATATGTTTGTATCCAACTTGTTAAACTTATTTGCTAATTAGAGCAATACCTACTTATCTACTAATTAGAGCAATAAACTCATTCCGAGTATAATTCTGACCTGGGTAGATAGAGAATAATGTTGCCCACTCTTCAGATTGAGGTGTCCCTGGATAGAATTCCTCTTTCTTCTATTTTGGCTGCCGTTGGGGGTAGTTGATATTGCAAGTTCAAGAATTCTGGAGCCACTCAGAGCATGAAACGGAAGAGTTTTTAGTTCCACAGCATGGCAAAAATCCTTCTTGAGTTTAGATGCTCTGATTCTATTTCTTGAAGTATATGCCACTCCTTAAGAGCCAGAAGAATGCAATAAAACATCTGGCTTGGTTTTGCACTTTAGGATAGAACTTCAGTTCAGATGTATTTAGGTTTCAACAGTTCTTGCAAGCCTGGAAATGCATCAGTCTTCAGAAAAACAAAATAGAGGCCACCGTTAGAAGCTGTTAATGATTGTCCGGAGGTTGCAGAAATCCACAAGCTTCAGGCAGAATATGCACAGTGGATGCTAAAAAGAAAAAGAATGTGTAACGACTGAACATTTTATGCAGGAGTTCTGGCCACGTTGCAGAACAAATGAGTTTTCAGAGAAGAATCCTTCACTTTCAGTCTTGAGGAGAATCATTTCGTTCAGATGAAACACCCTGCACTGAGTATTGCTAATACAGACTAGGATTTGGAGAGACTTGCTTTTGTAGGTTCACTCTGAACCTTAGATCCAGGTGTAGGCAACCTAATGCCCTTCAGATGTTTTTAAGTATTCCAGCAGCAGAGTCAAAAGTAGTAGATTTTGAGAGTCATCATGCAAACACATCTGAACAAGATTATCCAACTTTGGCCTAGGAACTATAATCCTAATTACGGCAATGAAGGAACTTTAGAGAGAATAAAGTTTCACTGAAATGACAGCAAAAATGCATGCTAAAGTTCTCTTGAAAGAGCCTTGCATATTGATGGATGGAGTTTAAGTCACATTTGTACCAAATTGCAAGTAGGGACTTGGTTTGTCTGGAGCTACCGTAGCTTTCTTCTGTTTGATGGAGGAAATTGAGTTCAGTGGTATTATGGTCCTGGCCCTGATTTGATTTTGATTTTAATCAAGGCTCATGTATCTGAGCAGATCATGGTGTGCTCAACTTTATAAGGTTCTGTAACTAGTAAAGGCTTATTTTTAAGTTTTGCCTAAAAGGTGGTAGTATACAGCAAGGAGTGAAGTGATGCTTAACTTTTAGAAGCTTTAGTGTAATGTGGGCTTTTCCCAGGTTCCTAAAGTGGGCTGAAAAAGGGCAAGCTGCAGCAAGTGGTCCAAATATTTAGCCAAGAGCTACACTTATTTTAAACAAATCTGCTTTGGCAATTAAAACAGGGCGGTTGGTGCATTGTTTTGTGGAAGGGTGTAGCATTAATGAGACTTCCTGGGGTTGCTGAAACTCTTTCCGAAGTTCCGTTCCAAGTTTTTTTCCCGCCTGCTTGGGAAGTGTTTTTATGCTGTGCTTGCTTAAGTTGAACTTTGATATCTTCTTTGCCTGTCCTACTATTTACTCCAGCCCCTGGTGTCTGCATGATGCCTGCTCAGTATTGATACTGATATTGTTCAGTATTAATAGTGATATTCTATATCTGTTCTGAGACAAGAATAGGTAACGGTTGAAATGGGCCAATAATTGGAATGGTGGTAGGGAAGAGATATCAGACACTAGAATGATCAGGCAAGAATCTAGTAAACTGAACAGTTAATGAGGATTGGCACACACAGATGAGGGCTTTGCAGTCTGCTTCTGTTATAATTTATTCAGGGACACCGATGCTTTATGGTTTCCTAAGCACACATCATGTTAAAGGTCTCTGTACTAACTCTTCCGAGCATAGCACAAAGCCTAAATGCACCTCTGTACAAAGTACAAACTAACTCAAATTTAAGTTCTTTTTACCATTCATGTCTTGAAAAATCATGATTTTATATTTCTATCATTCTTTCTTGAGCCTAACCCTAACCACTTCCCCCCTTATTTCTTCTTAAAATATGGGAAGAAAATTAACTCTGCCTTTTTAATGTACTTTTCATTCCCTTCAGTTCCCTTTCCATTAGGTATGGTGGTGTAGCAGTCTTCTGTAGGGAGATTGAAACTGAAACATGTTTGAGAGAGACTAATGGTATTTGCCTCTGAGACAAAGCTTCTTTCCCAAGCTTGCTGGTTCTTGCAGTATCTTAGCTCAGATCAAATATCCTCAGATTGCTCTAGATTGGAGTTTTACTCCCAAGTGTACCTAGGTGGATTCTCTTTGCACATCCTTATTTGACCTGGGAAGTGTCAAATATTTTAGAAAGGATATAGCGTTTTTTTAAAAATTATGTTTTCCATATTTACCCAGTGTCCTCCTGTTCTTTGCCTATTTCACATTGTAACTTGGATGTATGCACTTTCCTCTTGCAGACATGTACAGTATCATAGTTTATGCAGATTTCAAAAATGGTTTGGAAAGAGAGCGTTAGATCTTGTGGAAGTGCAACGTCTCTTTGCTACTTATGAAAGCCAGACTTTTTTCAGATTTCTGTGTGCGTCTGAAGAAAAAAAATGTGTCTGATTTCAGGGGTCCACTTGTTAAAGTTAATACAGTTCTTAAAGTATCTACAACTTTTTTTCTGGCTCATGTGGAAGCTTGATATTTTAGACAACTACTGGTTGGTGTCCAATCTTCCATTATGGGGAAGGTTGTTGAAAAGGTGGTAGGGTTACAGCTGCAGAGAACTCCTGAGAAAATGGATTATATGGACCTTTTTCAGACAGGGTTCAGGACTGGGTATGGAACAGAACCTGCACTTGTGGCTGATCCAGGATAGGAGAAGTGAAACCTTCCAAGTTCTGCTTGATCTCCCAGTGACTTTCAATACCATTTATTGTGGTATCCTTCTGGACTGACTGAGGAGCTGGAGTAGGGATGCTCTTCTGTAGTGGTTTTCCTCCTTCCAGGCTGGTGGTTCCAATTGGTGGTAGTGGGGGGGGGAGGGTAAGAGATCAAGATCTGGGGCCTCTGTTGTGGGGTCCTGCAGGGGACAACATTTTCCCTCCTCTCATTTAACATCTACATGAAACTACTTGGAGAGGTCATCATCTAGCCTGGAGTTAGGTATTTTCAATATGCAGGTGATTGACTGATTATGTGCCAACAAGACATTTTTGACTTCTAGTGACCACATAGATATATTTTCTCCATGATGATCAGGCAGGTGATACTTGGTTGTGTATCTTGACTCCAGGACAAACAAAATATATAGTTTAGGTTCTGTCCCAATGACTAAGGGCTATAAGTATCTAGATAGGAATGAACAGGCTTAGACTGAATCCTAACCAAGCAGAGTGGGTTTGGGTGCAGAAGCCATTTGATTCCAGAGATATTGTAGAGAATAAGGAAGATGACCTTGATGGAGATAAATTGGAACCATTACGAGGCAAAAGAGGATGAAGCATTTCATAAGTGCAGAACAGGATAGATCTGGAAGCAGCTCAGCAGACACCTCCCTAACCTACTGAACTATAAGAAGGAGGAGGGGGTACAGCACAGACTTGAAAGATTCTGTTATTATAGCCAATCTCAATAAAAGTGATTTTTGCTTTCCTGTGCAGTGATTTCCTGGTCTGATCTACCTAGTGGGGCTGACAGCTATTTCACCTTTGGCTCTGGATGGGGTTATGCTTCTCCATGCAGAACTGGTTCATAAATGCAGGGTTGTCCTGGATTCACAG